ATTTAGTAAGGCATCAGTAATTTGCATTTAAGTACAAGTATTTGAGAAGAAAGTAGCCTACATTTTATTGATCAAAATTTCTTATAAATTTAAAAAAATTTTAAAAAATTCAGTTCATAAACTGCAAGAGGAATTTATATTTATATAATTAGATTTGCTAGAGACTGTGTATACTGTTTTACAAAGAGAAAATGTCAGGCTAATTCCTAACTATTATTATAAGCCACTAAAATGAGACAGTGAAAAAACAAAGTTGGGATGGTAATATTCCAAAAGAAATGTTCTCTAAATGATGAGTAAAGTTATAGCATTACCATATATCTTCAGAAGAATACAATTGTGGTGGGGTTTTAGTAAACTCTAAATAAGGAGCAGTAGCAAGAAGCTATTTTTGAATCTTATTTTAAGCAATCTTTAGGGTTTGTTAGAAATATTTACTTTAGGATATGTGTGTGTGTGTGTGTGTGTGTGTATGTGTATGATGAGTTTTAAGTATAGTTTTAGATAACCAAGTAATTAAATAGATGTTTTACATTGAATATTAAACAGAAATTAGTTGAGTGTGGTGTCTCATGCCTTTAAGCTCAGCAACTTTGGAGGCTGAGGCAGGAGGATCGCAAGTTCAGGGCCAGCCTCAGCACCTTAGTGAGGCTCTAAACAATTCAGCAAGACCCTATCTCAAAATAAAAAATAAAATGGACTGGGGATAAAGCACCCCTGTGTTCGATCCCCAGTACCAAAAACAAAACAAAAAACAAATTATATTTTTAAATGATGTGTCTTGATCTTCTAGATTTTCTTGGCATAGATATGGTGATTTTTTTTTCATTTGAAAAAATAACAAAAATGATCCAATACTTTTAACTTTGAGACTAATAGACTGATAATTATTTGGTAACTACAGTCTTGGCATCATCAGTGAAGCCCTTCTTACTGATCACTTAAGTATACTTTTAAATTCCCCTTGTTCTAAATTATTGTTCATTATTTCTATTGACATTAGAAAATGTCTCATCCTTTTTTTAAAAAAAATATTTATTTTTTAGTTGTAGTTGGACACATTACCTTTATTTTATTTTTTTTTATGTGATGCTGAGGATCGAACCCAGGGCCTCGCCCGCACATGCTAGGCGAGCGCTCCACCGCTGAGCCCCAGCCCGAAAATGTCTCATTCTTAAAATAGGTTGCTTATATTATTCCCTCCCTGAAATGTAAAATACAAGTAACTAAATTTGAATGGGCTCTCTTAAGGTTAGTATGTGGCTGCTAAAGATGATGTTTTGTAATGGTTTTAGTAGTAGTATTTAGAGTATTTATTTTTAAATTTTCTCAGTGTACTTATAAAGCTATAAAAATAAGAGGAAAAAGCCTAATTTCATTTTTTAAAATTCTTCTAATTGGATATTTGAAACACCAAGCCTCAGGGATTCAAAGGACTTGATAAATAAACGGGAAGGTTATGCTTGGAAAGTCTGTAAATTTTTATCAGCGTAGGCTCATCCTCTAAGTTTGGTTTGCTTTTAACTATTTATAGTTAGCCTTTTACTAATTATTACTAGCCTTTTACTATTTATATCTAAGTGTTGCTCTATGCCTATAGTTATAGTTTGTATTGCAATTTAACTTAAAATCTCTGTAAATTCCAGTTACTTGGTGAACCTATCTTTCACATTCAATTATTGAATATTGTGAAAAGAATATAACAAAATTTAAATTTGGAGTTCTTTGGTGGTTATAGGGAAAGAGTCTTATGTAAGGAATCTTCTAGGCTAACCAACAAAAATAAATTTATAGTTACTTCCCATTCTTGTCTTTTTTTTTTTTTTTTTAATGGTGTAGGAAATCCAACCCAGGTTCTTGAGCTTAATACCAAGCACATGCTTTACCTCTGAGCTACACCCCTAGTCCCTACTTTCCGTTCTTACCTGTTTACAAGAAGCCTACCTGAATATAGAAAACAATTCTTTGTATCAAAATTCTCCTTAAATTCTCTTTGGATAATACATTTTGAACTAAATACAAAGGAAGGTAAATCTAGTCTCAGGTAGGTTTACGTTATATCATATTTTGGTTCATAGGCATTCTGGTCAGACGATATCTTACATGGTCCAGAAAGAACATGCTCTGAGGTATCTTGAGTTAATTTGGACTACCATGTTGAATGTTTATCTTGGGCAAAAAATACAGAATTTAGGGTGACCTTTGCAAACCCCAGATGTAACTGATTTTTTGAACCTGCTGTGGGAGTAGCTTTGAAAAAAATGTAACTTACTAAAGTAATTCTGATTAAGGAAGATCTGGAATTATTTTTCTGTGGCTGCTTTTGGTGAATTTCTTCAAAGCATTGTGGTTTGGGATCTAGCAAATAAATAAGTCATATTTATGTTGGAAACAACAACAACAAACTCTACCCATAAAACGATTGTTATAAATTAGACACATTTTGGGGGCAGGGGGAGGCCATAAGGCCAAATTTTTACTTGGTAAAGAAATTACATAAGTGAGAAATTTCCCTCTTTTCTGTTGCAAGGAAGGATGGAATGTATGCTAACAGAAGAGGAGCACTTCATTTTATTGAATGTGAAATTGCATCTAATATCTGCGTTTTTAGTTCTATTTGTTATCTGTTGCTTTTTCTCAGTTTTATATATTTTGTTTTTGCTACCTTCTGTTTATTCTCTTCTGCTTACTCCAAGTATAGAAACGCTATTGTGAATGTATCAACAATTGTTTTAACCCTCTGAGTGGGAGACAGATACATAGGTCAAGGATTTAATGACAAGAACTATGACTTTAGGGACAAACCAAATTAAAGATATGTTTTAAAGAAAGAAACCAATTTCTAGGGTTATATGGCTGTCCTTGTATCTATATTCTTCAAGATTATCTGCTTAATTCTGCTTTAAATGTGTTCTCCCTGCATCTATCCATAGCATCAACTGTAATCTCTACTAATGACTAATAATTCTTTATACTTCTTGATTTTTAATATAAACTTAAATTTTCAGTTGCCTCAGATTTTCAAGCTTAAGTTACCTTCATACACCTCATTTTTTACATTATTCTGTCTCTCTGACCTGCCTACTCACCAGTCTATTCCTTTCCCAGTATGTACTTACCAAGGTTAATGTATTTAATGGCCTCTTCACCTTCATAGTCTGGAAGGCTCAAAATTAAGAATCACCTTTATCTTGCTGCTGTTTTTTATATGCTAGCTAAATCATTAGTTACCAAGTATTCTTTTTCTATACGATTACTTAGTTCTCTCCTTTCTATTTGTAGGAACTGCCTTGGTTTATTGTATGTCAGGCCTTGCCTGTTTTTTTTTTTCCTTCTTTTTTTAATCTTTGCAACAGGGTGTGAAGAAGGTTGCATTGCCTCTTTTTAATATCATATTTATAGATTAGGCCTGAAGAAATTAATTGACATGCTGTTCAAACACAAGGAAATGGTGGCACAAGGATTTGAGGCTGAGTGACTTTAAAAATGAATCTCTCAGGGCTGGGGATTAAGCTCAGTTGTAGAGCATTTATCTAGCATACTTGAGGCCCTGGGTTCAATCCCTAGTGCTGCAAATAAATCACAAAACAAAGAAAACGAAATAAAAAACCCAGTCTCCACTGTGTACTCTTTCATGTTACACTTTGGGTCCTTCCCTATTGCATATCCACCCACTCATCTTTCTTTTTATCTTATGCTAGTTATATGGAAACATTTCTGGACCTGTGAACTGGTCATGCTATTTGATGCTCTAAGCCTTTGCTGTCACCTGGTTCCCTCAGCTTGACTTTTCTCTCAACCCCTGTCTGCTTGGTGAACTCCTTTCCTTCAAGTACCTATTTAGAAATCATTTTCTATAGTCTTCCTCACTATCACCATCTCCATCTCTAGGAATTACTACAAATATTGTTGGGTTAAGACAGTTGTTTTCCATACTCAAATGGGATGTGGTCTCTTTGAGGACAGCAATACATTTACTCTTTTTAGTTCTGTTAGTCTTGATTGTAATTTGGAGATAAAAGGCATTTTGTCTTTATAAGAAGCATAGTATACTTCGTACTTTTTTCGAAGGAAACTATAAATGTAGAGTTTTATCTTGTAAAATTATTTAGATGTATATGGATTATTTATGCATTTTTATAGGTTAGGCATTTATTGAGTGCTTACTAGCACTAGGCACTTTGCCAAGTATTTGAGATAGAGGGAAAGACTTGGGGAGAATAGTAGACAGATTTGAATAAAGCCAGTACTTTTCTATAGGGTGGTAATGTAGTTAGGATTCTGAAAAATTGTAATAACAGGATCTGACTCTTGGTGAAAGGCTTTCTTAAAAAATATTTATTTATTTATTTTAGTTGTGGTTTGACACAATGCCTTTTTTTTTAATTATTATTTTTTTATGTGGTGCTGAGTATCGAACCCAGGGCCTCGCATGCACTAGGCGAGCGCTCTACCGCTGAGCCACAACCCCAGTCCCTTGGTGAAAGGTTTTGATTCTGGTCTCCTAGCAGAGTGCTTACTACTTAGTAGGAAGTCAGTTAATATTTGTTTAATTAATTAGACTGTTATTGAAGTAATACAAAGTATAAATTTAAGATGTTGGAATATAATGTTTTTTCTCCTGTTTTGACATTTAAATTTATTTTAAATTATTTATGATAATCTGTAGAAATTCTTTGAGAAGGCATATTATATCCGTAAGTTCAGTTGCCATTATATGTTAGAGTAGATCTGTATATGATAAATGCTTTCTGGTGTACATGCTTCTTTCTCATAACAAGGATGGTATCATTGATGGGGTGAATAAACTTCCCTAATACTTTGTTTTATGTGTTTATGAATTATTGCTCAAAAGGTGATCCTTAAGATAGCTTATAAAATGTTTGTGAAGAGTGGTTTTCCTCCTTTATATGTTCATTTTATTGTATTATCCTTTCCTTTTAATGTAACTTGCCCTTACCCCTTATCCTCCACACCTTTTTTTTTTTTTGTTTTTGCAGTATCTCTTGCTCCTCCTCCTCCTCCCTCCATCCTACAGGTAACTCCTCAGTTACCTTTAATGGGATTTGTGGCCAGAGTTCAAGAAAATAGTAAGTTTATGTCTTCTTTATGCTGTAGATCAGATTATAGGCATAAAATGTCATTTATATATGATTGACTGAATAGTCATTCATTAACTGATACTTCGGCTATTTTAATATTATGAACAAGTCACTGTATGATTGGCTATTGGGGAATGATAAAATAATTAAGATGAAATGCTCTACTTTTAAATAGCTTTATTTATTTTTATTTTTACTTTTTTTTTTTTGAGATAGGGTCTCAATATATTGCCCTGACTGGCCTTATACTTGTGATGCTCCTGTCTTTGGCTCCTGAGTTGCTGGGATTACAGGCATGCTCCATTTGCCCAGCTTTCAAATAGCGTTAAATCTGGCAAAATCTGAAGTAGGAGTGTGTAACTCAGTTAGGGTTTGAGTTTGATCCTTAGCACCCCAAAAAAACCCAAAATAACCAAAATAAGAGTAAAAAGTTATAGTTGTAAAGATAAGTCAAATATGAAATAGTGACATATGTAAGAAAAGAAAGATCACATCTGAGGAGATACTCTTTAATCACCAGATATTCCATCTTTTTTTTTTTCTGGGTTGTTCACATAAGTAGTAGTAATCTTGTTTCCTGCTGCTGAACTTTTTGAGTATTGTAGGTATTGAGACTCTCTCTCCAGTTCTGTGATTCCAAGTGTAAAAAGGGCAATGCCATGATAGGGCTCAGGGAACCAAGCTGCCAGTTTATCTTCGAAGATGCCTCACAGACTGGCAATGAATTTACCTTGGTTTGTTGTTTAGTGTTGAAGCATGTGGAATCAGATAATTAATTTATTGGCACATTGAGTCTCTATGGAAACATTAGGGAAACTCAGGAAACTTTACATGTATAAATCAGGGGACCTGTGTCAACATTCAATGAGGAATTGCTGTCACAGAAACCAGTGCACATAGTCTGTATGATAGGTGATTTCTTTTATTGTGATTAGCCTACATAAGGGCCCACATCAAAATCTTAAGGCTACATAATGGGCATAGAATCTGAACTAGGGGAATTATAGTTGATCTTTGAACAAGAGGTTTGAACTATTGAGCAGGTTTGAACTGCTTGGGTCACTTAGGTGGATTTTTTTTCTTTTTAATTTGTCAGTTTAAAAAACTCATCAACAATTGTGTTAGCCTAGATATATAGAAAAAATAAGAAAAAGGCTATCAAAAATGCACAAAATATTTATGGATAATAGTATTATAATTTACTATCATAAAATATATACAAATCTATTTAAAAATTTTCAAAACAGGCATAAAATCACTCATAGATCATATACAACATCATGCACAGTTGAGAGTATAAATAAATGTAAAGATGCAGTATTAAATCATAACTGCATAAAATAACTATAGTAATACTTAACTACTGTAATAATTTTATAACTACCTCTTTTTGCTATTTTGTTGAGCTCATGTATTTCCAATAAAAGTGTTTCAAGTATCAACTTAAAAGGTCTTGCTTCTGTTTGAGCAGTTCATCTCTTTAGTAAAATTGTGTATTGCAGTAAAAGTGCTTCCACAGTTCTCAAGTTTTTCACCTTATATAGTTCATATAATGTGCAAAATGTGTTAATCAGCTATTTGTTATCTGTAAGGCTTCCTGACAACAGCAAGGCTATATTAATACTTGAGTCTTGGAGCTTCAGAAGTTATATGTGGATTTTTGACTGTTATGGGTGGGTGGGGAGACCCTAACCCCCATATTGTTCAAGGTCAGTTGTACATTAATTTAAGATTTAATGTCATCAAGCAAAAGTAGCCCTGTGCATCTTTCTTATAACAAGGATGGTGTGTCAATGATGGGATGAAAAGATTTGCAATCTGTTGCTTAGGATTCTTTAGAAATGGGCATCGTCAATAGTAGAATGCAAGTTCTAGGAGAACAAGAACTTTGCCCGTTTTGTTCACTGGCCTTAGAAAAGTGTCTGATACATAACAGGCGCTTTTGGTCCCTCCTTTATTTGTGTGCCTGTAGCAAACTTAAATGTCCCTTCTCTATCAACACATTTTCTTTTCTTTTCTTTTTTTAAAGTTGTGTTAGTATTTTAACTGGTTAAAATCCAGTCTCACTGGCCTGGAAGCTCAGTTCTGTCTTTCAGTTACCTTTGCATTTCTATTTGTTGATTTCTAAAAATATCTTCTGTTTTTTGAAAGGTACCTCATGAATTCTTGGAATGTTTACCACACTGTTTTTTTAAGAGATTTTCTTACATTTTAGAGCTATATTCATATATAATTAGGTTGATTTAATGTTTTTAAATTATGCTATTGGAGCCAGTTGTTATTTTGGCTCTCATGTGACCCATACTGGCTCAGGGAGAAAATGTCTTCTCAGCCAGGTTTAGCTTGGCCAACTTGTGCCTAGCACAGCCCATAGGGTGATCCTCTGCCAGGCTTAAGACGTTAAATGTTGGGATGGAAAGTTACCATTCTCTGTTCTTTTAAAAAATTTTGCTGCATCCAAACAGCAGACCAAAAAGAAAAGGTTTTAATCAGAGTACCAAAATTGAAGGAATTTCCAGTGTTCCATATAAGATGGAAAGTTGAAGTATCATTATAATAAGAGAAATTTTCTCCCAACACAAATCCAATTTAATCACATTGATTAAGAAAGAATCTTGAAATTTTTCTTTTTTTAAAAAAATTATCATGATGAGCATGCATCACATTGATTAAGAATCTTGAGGGGCTGAGGTTGTGGCTCAGGGGTAGAGTGCTCGCCTAGCATGTACGAGGCGCTGGGTTTGATCCTCAGCACCACATAAAAATAAAAACAAAAATAAAGGTATTGTGTCTAACTACAACTAAAAAAAATTTTTAAAAAGGAAAGAATCTTGAAATTTTTCTTTTTTAAAAAATTATCATGATGAGCATGCACTTCGAAGAATTCCGTTCAGTTGCTGCTACGTGTTCTGTGAGGTGTTCTGTTCTCATTCAGAACAAAGTAGTTTGAGCAGTTTCTGGAGTTAAGGTCAGATCTTGAAATCAGTGTTGAATACTAATGATCAATTAGGCAGGAATGTTTCTGTAGGAACTAAAGGATTATTTTCTTTTAAAAAGATCTAGGCTTGAAAGTTGAATGGATTATGAAACAGGACATCATTAGGTTTCATCAGTAATTAGAGTTGGAAAGTTTGTAGATACACTGAAATTTTTCATCAACAAACCTCTGGAAGCACATGATAGATGATTTTCAAACATTATTGTAACAATACTACCTGTATTTTAAAAAGTCAGTTCCTAATTAGGTCACACTATCACAATTAATTGCCTTTTGGAGTCTTCCTTTTTTTTTTTTTTTCTTTCTTCTTTTCAGGTGTTGGGTGGGGTTTGAACCCAGTGCCTCTTCTAACATTGAGCAACATCCCAGCCCAGGGACTGACTGTCTTTTACACCCCTTTCTGTAGTTATATACATTTTTCACACACCAAAGTATAAAATAAAAACTTTTTCATACGAGGTATGCTATGACTAATATACAGACAAGGCAGGACTTAGACATTCAAATGTATGTTCTCCTCTTCAAAGCATTTGCCTTGGAAAGACATATACCTTTCTTTTAGAATTACCTTTAAAATTCTCAGGCATATTATTTTGAAGATGCTTTATGATGGAAAATATTTACTATGCATCAAGTATAATGTTTGGAAGAAGTCTGGAATTACTTGGAACCAGTTATAGTGAACCAGTTATGCTGGAGTAAAAAGTGCAGTAATGATTCGGTTATTCTTTTTAAAATCCTCCTGTGGCTGCCCATTGCCCTTTGGACAGGTCCAAACTGCTGTAAGGCCCATCTTGCTTTGTTCTCTTCAGCTTCCTATGCTTTGTGCTGAACTTTGGATAGTTCTTTGAAGGTTTCTTGTTTATCTTTTTCTTTATATATCAGATGAAATATTCATGATGCATACTACTTCCCAGACATTTATTACTATCCTTCAGATCTGAGGAAGCCTTCCCTGACTCACATAAAAGATTTGGTTTGTGCAAAGTGTTCCTATAATATCTTAAAGCACTTATTAGACTTCATTATAAATGAAAGTTTCGTTGTCCATATCTCCATGACTCTGCCCACTAAACTTTTCTTAGTGCTGAGCATCATACCTAGTCATAGTAGGCGCTCATTTGATGTTTACTGAATGAATACTTCAGGTGATCTTCCACTTACTTCTGTGAGACTAGTTAATCTTGGAAATCCTGTTTTCTCATCTATAAAATTAAGATTTAAAACACTATCTCCCAAGGTAAAGGATAAATGAAATAATGTATTATAAGGTGCTAGATTCTCAAGTAATTGAACTATTTTAGGTAAAAAATGGGAGCTTATGGTTGTCTTATTAAACTGGCTCTCAGGAAGAAAAGTAAAAATGGCCAATGACAGCATCAGGAGTAATTTTTTTTTGCAGTTCGATTTTTTATTTTAATAAAATCAGAATATGCACAGCACAAGTCAGGAGTAATTTTGTAGTGCAATTTCTCAAGGTGATTGTCCTGAAAGTTCCTTTAGATCTGTGGTTTTATGCAGTTGTTTGCATCAGTCTCTTTACCTTCGAAATACAAATAGAGAATATTGTTATTTCTCAATGTATCCCTGTATAATTTTTCATAAACTATATGCTAAAATCACATATATATCTTTTGTTCATTATTAAATCATACGACTAAAGGATTTTAAAATGAGTACATTTTTAAGTTTGTAGAGTAGGATAAGTGCAGAGGGCATAGTAGACAGGAAGAATACTGAAATAGGACAGAGTAGGTTGTTGTTATAGCTGATTCTCACCAGAAATGATCTTACAAAATCCATTTCATTCATGGACTTAGATAAGAATAAGGAATAAACAGGATTGCTCAGAGAATTTCATGGTCTCAATTTGGTAGTTCATAAGAATTAGTGCTGTTTATTAAAACTGGGCATCTGACAAATGCAGGTTTATTCATTTTATTTTGTTGGATTGTGCTCAAGTGTATACCAAGCATTTTGAAAGTTTTGAGTTCTCTGAGTTTTAGATGTTTCACACCTGAGCTGTGAAAGCAGAGCTTTATAGATTTTAGATATTTTTGATATTTAAATTACTCTCCTAGTACATTCAGACATTTAGCCTAAATCATAAATTAGTTTAAATTCTTTTTTTTTCTCTAAATTTAAATTTTTTTAAGTTGTTGATGGAACTTTATTTTTTATTTATTTATATGTATTGCTGAGAATTTAACCCAGTGCCTCATACATGCTAGGCAAGAGCTTTTACCACTGAGCCACAACCCCAACACCAGTTGAAATTCTTTAAACAAAACATCTTCATGGATGAAGTTACTTAAAATTGTTTATGATTTTTCTTCCCGAATTTAATAAAATGCTATTTTAAAAAATAATTGAAAGTAGATTATTAAAATTTGACCATTCCTTGGGCTCATTTAAATTTGTTATAAGAAAGATACGGTTAAATGTCCAGATTAATATTTCTAATAACTCCTTCTTGAATATAGTATAAAGCCAAACCCATATTGTACTGATTTAGTTGAAAATAAGATTATGTATTAGCATAAGAAGGTTAGAGAGGTTCACGTACTAGTAATTTTTTGGGTTAAACTTTATTCATCATCCATCAGCAGTAACACAAAGGGGAGGGAGACCAGCATGCTAGATTTAGAACATATTTAGTGGCAAGACTTCTTCTGTCCAATTATTTTTTGATAAGTTATTATTTTCAAGTCTAGGTTTATATTTCATGAATCTAGAAGCTCTGCTTAATGTGTAGTTTGTTGTCAGCTTCATACATTCTTAGTTTCAGATACACCACCTCCACCACCACCTGTGGAAGAACCAGTCTTTGATGAATCACCCCCTCCACCACCTCCTCCAGAAGATTATGAAGAGGAGGAAGCAGCTGTGGTTGAGTATAGTGATCCTTATGCTGAAGAGGACCCACCATGGGCTCCAAGGTCTTACTTGGAAAAGGGTAAGTTTCAGAAGGCTCTGTGGAGGGATGGGAAGACATCTCTAAATAGAAATTAAATTTGCTGGTAATGAAGATAATCTTATTTATTTTTTACTGATAAATTTTTGTTTATTTGTATGATCTATTCAGTTTAAGGTTCATAATTTTGAAAGTCATATTAGTAAATTTTTGTGAACATTTGATTACTTTTTTAATTGATGGGTATCTGTTGTTCCTATTGCGATGCTTTTCACAAATGAATCCTATAAAACAAAAGTCACCAGCGGGAGGTTTTCTATTTCCTTTGAAATGCTCTAGGAAGAGGATAATTTTCCAAGTTATTAGTTATTTTTGTCCTCATGGCTTTAGAACACCATTATTCTTTTTAGAACATTATTTTTAGTCATCCTATACCAGATAGTTCAGTTAATGTCTATGTAGGAAATATTCTTTGAAAAAATAATGGTTTCTTGGTTGTTTGCATAGTAGTATCAGGCATTTCTTTTAGTGGAAAGCTTCTTTGAGTATATTAGCTAACCATGACATAGTACCTTAGGACATGTTTCCAAATCTTATCCACTTGGAAAATAAAAAATGTGTGTTATTTGGAAGGAAATTTTCTGTAAAAGAAATCAAAGCTACTAACCTAGTACATCTCTATAAACTGCACAGTAGAATTACCTGGGGAGCTTTTATTAGGAAATAGTGAGCTCCACTTGTGGCCAAGTTGGAGAAATAGTAATCAGATTTATATTACTTCCTAAACTGAATTCAGGAAAAAAAATTCACAAAAGTTTTTCAGACATTCAACAACAGGCAGTGACAAACTCTGACCCCAGAAAGAAGAAAATGTAGGACTTTTTGTATAACTTTCATACATCTGAAATGATGTTGCAGAAGAAAGGATCAGCAACCTTGATTTTACAGCAATAGAAGCTATTCAAAATGAGGCACAGGGGGAAAAAAACCAAAGCAAAAGCAAAAATAGAAAAAATAGAAGACAAAAATAGGTCAACAGATATGTGGGACAAAAACAGATAGAATTTTTTTTTGGGGGGGGGGTACCAGAATTGAACCCAGAGGAGATTTACCATTGAGCTACATCCCTAGTTCTTTTTATTTTTAAAATTTGAGACAGTTTTACTGAGTTGCCCAGGCTGGTCTTGAATTTGTAGCCTTCCTCCCTAAGCCTCCCAGGTCCCTGGGATTACAGGTGTGTGCCATAGCATCCAGAAGATAGTCTTAATAAATATATGTGTAATTGGAGTCCCCAGGAAACATGGAATGAAAGAAAAAGATTTGATGTAATAATGGCCAAAATGTTTTCACAGTTGATGAAACTACGTTTAATTTTACTATCTAACAGGACATTCCAAAATTTAATAAACAAGGCAACATTAATTATATTCCCATTTTTCTGTATGGCGTAGCCAAACTTTCTGATTCAGTGACATTCACATGGCTGCCATTAAGGTATCAGCTGAGGTTACAGTTATCTCTAGGCTTGACTGAGGGAGAATTTTCTTTCAGGTCATTGGCAGGAATCATTTTATCATGTATTGTTGACCTGAGAACCTTAATTTCCTTATTGGTTATTGACCAGAGGCTGTGTCCATCAACAACTTAAAAAAAAGACGCAAACCAAAGATATTAAGTCACATTTTTAAAGAATTAGGGGAAAATGTCTACTTAAAGTTCTTTTCTTAGCAAAAATATCCTTCTTTAAAGACCATTATAGACCAAAAAGTGGGAGAAGCTAGGAATTCATGACTAACAGATACATGCTAAGTAATTTCACAAGGAACTTTTCCAGGCAGAAGAAGAGTAATACTTGCTGCAGTCTCAGGTCTACAAAAAAGGAATGAAGAGTAAATGGTGAATATATAGTTAAATACAAAGACATTTTCCTCATATTTTAATCCTTTTAAAAATGACAAATAATAAAATAGCAATGTATTTTTAATGTTATTGTATTTTTGTACTCTATTTTATTTTTTTTATGTGGTGTTGAGGATCGAACCCAGGGCCTCACAAATGCTAGGCAAATGCTCTACCACTGAGCTACAACTACAGCAGCCCCTAGCAATGTATTTTTTAGAACAAATATAAAAGCGACTTCACTAGCATAAATTATGAAAGGAGAAATGAATTATATTTTGATAAAAGTATAAGGTAGTGTACTTTCTGAAGGTAGAGTGAAATAAAGATGGTTTGTATAAATACATAGATTAACATAACATATAGAGTACTTATGTATATAAACATACACTGTATATATGTGTGTGTGTGTGTGTGTGTGAGATAAGAGTGTAAACCTTAGAACAAGCAATAAGTACAAAGAGGGTTAGCTATACATTAATGTATACATTAGCAAATGTATAGCCAAACCTCTTCTGTAGGACAGGAAATTGAAATATAAATAATACTTGGGTCATAGAGGCAGGAATAAAAGAAATAAAAACCGGATGAGACAAATAGAATTTGAATAGCAGGATGGTAGATTAAAACCTAGTCTATCGGTAATTGCATTAAGTGGCTAGGTGCTGTGGCACAGAAACTGGAATTCCAGCTACTTTGAAGTCTAAGTTGAGGATAACAGGTTTGAGGTCATCCTGGACAACTTATTAAGACCCTGTCTCAAAATAAAATAAAAAGGACTGGACTATAGATCATTGATATAGAGTGTCCCCAGTTTCAGTCCTTAGTACTTTAAAAAAATGCACTAAATGTAAAATGTTTAAACAAACCGAATTTAAAGACAGAGATCAAGAGGTTAGATAAAGAAAAGATCCAAACATTACATACTCTTTACAAGAAAACATACTTTAAATGTGAGAACATTTTGGGTAAAGGTGAAAAAACATTTATCAAAAGAAGGCTGGCTTGGCTATATTAATATCAGACAAAATTTATTTCAGAGCAAGGAATATTACCTTCAATAAAGATGGACATTTTATAAAAACAAGTGAATTATCTCATTAAGAGAGCATAACAATCAAATATGTATACACTTAATAACAGAGCTTTGAAAAGCAAAAATAGAAAAATTGGAAAGGAAAAATACAAATCATAGCTTTAGTTAGATTTCAGCATTCTAAAGTTTTGTTTTGTTTGTTATTAGAGATTTAACCCAGATGTACTTTTACCATTGAAGTACACCTTCAGCCCTTTTTGTTGTTTTTTTATTTTGAGACAGGGTCTTACTAAGTTGCAGAGGCTAGCCTTATAGGCGTGCCTCACCATGTCTCTGCATTCTGAAGTTTTTACATAAGTAGAAAATCAGTAAGGATACAGAAATACATGAACAATATTACCAGCCAACTCACCCTCATTAAAATGTATGGTACATTTTATCTATTAGCTACAGAATGCATATTCTCTTAAAACATTCAAATGCACTGAATTCATGTTCACTGATAGAACGTATTCTGGGGCGCAAAGAAAGGTCTTAATAAATATAGACATTTGAAATATTGCAAAATATGTTTTTCCAATACAGTTGAAATAAATACCAGAGATAAGTCTTAGAAATCCCAGAATAAGTGGGATGTGGTAGTGTGAGTCTGTAGAACCAACTATGTAGGAGGCTGAGGCTAAGACTGAGGATTGCTTAAGCCCAGGATTTGGAGACTGATGTGGGCAATATGACCTCATCTCCTAAAACAAAACAAAACAACACAAACAAACAAAAAAATTCCCACCATGATAGAAAGAAAAACCCAGCACAACAGAAGTTCCCAAATATTTGGAAATTAAATGACATAACTTCATTGTTTAATGAAGAAATCTTAAGCCGGGCATAGTGGCACATGCCTGTAATCCCAGCAGCTTGAGAAGCTGAGACAGGACGATTTTGGGTTAAAAGCCAGCCTCAACAAATAAAGGCACTAAGTAACTCAAGTGAGATCCTGTCTTTAAATAAAATACAAAAAATAGGGCTGGGGATATGGCTCAGTGGTCAAGTACCCTTGATTTCAATCCCTGGTACCCTCCAAAAAAATCTCAAGAGAAAATAGAACATAATTTAAAAAGTATTTTTTAGTTGTAGATGGACACAATATCTTTATTTATTTATTTTGTGGTGCTGAGGATCGAACCCAGTGCCTCACATGTGCTAGGCAATACTCTACCACTGAGCTACAACCTCAACCCTTAGAACAAATTTGTAACTTGATGAAAATAAATACAGTGTATTGATGTGTGGGACACAGCACTTAGAAGAAATTTATAGCATAAAATGGTTATGTTAAAAGAAATTTGATAAAAGATACCATTATCCTTATCAGGAATGAATTAAAAGGGCATCATTGACAGATTTTACAGAAATTAAAAGAATAATAAAAAAATATATGAGCAACTTTATGCCTATAAATTCAACAACTTAGATGATATGAACAAATTCTCTAAAAGGCATAGACAACTCAAAGCTCATTCAGAAAGAAATAGGTAAACTAATAGCTTTATATACTTTAAAGAAATTGAGTTTAAAACCTTCCCACAAAGAAAACTTCAGGTACCCAAATGGTGTCAGTGGAAATTCTAACAAGTATTAATAAAAGAAATCAATAGTGCTCACAATTTTCCAGAAAATAGAAGTGGAAGTAATACTTCTCAACTGATTTTACAAGGCTATCATTACCTTGATAACAAAATTACACAGGCATTATTAAAAGAAGAATCTTACAGATTTCCTCATAAACAGAAAAAAAAAAATTTAAGGTCAAATGTAGTAATTTATGAAAAAGATAATATATCATGACTATATGCAGTTTATACTGGAAATGCAGGGTCAACCTAACGTTTGAAAAAATCAATCTGTAATTCATCATCTTCACATTAAAAAGAAGAAAAAAACATTGACATTTCAGTTGGCACAGAAAAAGTTATTTGACATTCTAGAACACCTATTTGTAATGAAAATTTTAGCAAACTAGGAATAAGAAGAGAACTTTCTCAGCCTGATAAAAGGCATCTGGAAAACTTGCAGCTCACATTAATACTCAAGTATGAAGACTGAATAT